GCGGGGGAGGGGGACGACGACGACGCATTGGTGAACAGGCTGCGCCAGCGGAATGCGCGGGAAGGAATGGAGGCGGCGGCAAAGCTGTGGGTGGATGACCTCCGCTTTTGGAACGAGAGGGAGGGATTTGCCATCGTCAAGTTGATTCTGGAGGCGCGCGGTTATCTTGTGGTTGTGGCGTGGGGAGAGCAGCCTCCGCCCATTCGATGCAGCATCGTCTTGCCTCACAACAACATCCCACAGCACAAGATCGCGGACGAGTCGGAGTTAAACGCTGCGAAGGAGAGGGCACTGAAGGTTCAGGGGATCGCTTTGCGGGTGATACACGGGTGGGTCTTCAAGTCTCAGAACAGGCGAAGGGGGTACCATGCGGCGTACCAGTACGCACTCAACCACGCGGCCACCGACATCGCTCGCGCGATGTGGATGGGGGAGGAATGGCGTTATTGTGTGAGTCCGATGGTCGTCCACCACACGCTCGACATGGATATGAAGCTGCCTTTGTGGTTCGTGGGCGCCGACGTCGAAGATAGGCACGAGGACGACGGCTTGGCGGCTTATCAGGAGGCGAGCATCCAGCGACTGGTGGGGGCTTTCACGAGCGCCGTGATCATTGCGGAGGCGATGGACGGTGGGCATGTATCGCACGAAAGGTTGAATACCATGGCCAACGCGATGCGGATGATGCTCGCGGCGACCATGTGGCTCATGTGGATGGCGGGTGACGATCATCGCGCGCATTACGACGCCTGGGTCTTCGTCCAACTCACGGTGAAGCCGACGCTCGTCACATCCATGCATCACTGCTTCGACACGCGTCAGCACATCGTGCAAGCTGCGACCGTAATCACCGACAAGTTGGCGAGTCCCCCCATCACTTTGATCGACCCTCCAATGTATGTTCCCGACTGGGCGTCCATCGGTGTGAAGTTCTCACACAACGCCACGTTGTCTTCCCCGATGGAGGCGAAAAAGGTGGATTGGCTGGGCACAGGCCCCCCGGAAGACGAAGACGGCGGGAAAGGCGACGAACAGGGAAGCGGGGGGGGTCGGTGACGCCTTGTAGTCGTCTATGTAATTTTTCCTCGCGTGATGCTGCTCTGCCGTGGCTTGTTTTTCGACGGCAGACCAACCATCATCCCCTTTCTGTACATACATCGTGGCTGGCAGTCCGATTTCGTTGCCTAGGAGCTTTCAGTGGCGAAGATGGTAAAGAAGGGAAAGACGGTAGAATGTAGAATGGAGGGGGGGG